ATGTGCGTGCTGGTGGTATTGTAATAGTGTTCAAAAAACAAAAAGAGTTCTGGGACTCACCCCTTGAGAAATTGAACATTATTCCTATGGACATGAATGCCTCCTGGCATGTTTTTTTTTTTTTTTAACTGTATCTTTCTGGTGGAAGTTGTCCTCTCTGAAGTAAGGATGTACGCCTGTTGGCTTCAAGAATGTCCAGTTATTCTCATGTCATGTTGCTCTCTTCAGCTCCTTTAGTGGAGTCATCTAAGAGAGAAACATAGCTTAACATGTAGAGTCTGCAGGCTTCAAAGAAATGTAAGCGAACATTGCAGCAAAGGGTGTTTCTCTGATACTGAACCAGAGAAACCCTTTTCTTCTGATTTACAAGTTCCCAGTACTTTGTGCTTGTTCGTGTCATTAACTATTGATAAAATACATAGAAGTTTGTGGTTGTTACTTGAGTGCAAAATATTTTAAGGATTTTGAGTAGCACTATGTTCAGTCAAAAGTAGAGTGTGTGAGAAGGACTGTGTGAGCTGAATAAGTTACTTGTTTTCCTTCCATAAAAAAAAAGAATGAATCTGGTATAATATTGCCATGTTATGAGTGTTTGGATAGATTTAACCTCTGCCTAAGATATTTCTCTGAATTACATCTTGAAATACTTAAGTGAGCTTTTTTTTCAAAGGTTGGAACCATCACTGCACTGGCTAAAGAGTCCACATCCAATAAAGTTGTTTAGGAATCCCGTGACAGTGTTCGGACAGTTTTGGCACTCCCTAAAAGGTCTGTAGAGGAGTGCAAAAAAAGCAGAATGGCTCTTACCCACGAGATGCTTTCCGGTTCCACGCTGCCGACTGTCTTCCAGCCAGAAACTTCAGCACTTTCAGTTGTTTTCTGTCATTTCGGTGAAGGAGGAGGAGCAGACAGGGGAGCAGGGAGGTCTTAACTGGTTGTTTGTCAGAGTGTGTTGATGTTGTTAGATTCATTGTTTCCTGTGTTGGTCAGACATTGGGTTTGTGTTGGCTTTGGTCCCGTTATTCTGGCTGCTGTGCAACCCATCTCCTTTGCTCTCCTCTCCCTGCTTCTCATCACAGTGAATAAACACAGGACCAGTATTAAACTGGGCTAGATTTTAGGAAATCAGGAGCATGTGTGTGAAATTGACTGTGCGTATGTGTGCGTGTTGCGTTTGTGTCCATTAGAGGCATGCAATTAAATGTGACTCTATAAGCAAAATGAAAGATTTTTAGGTAATTTAAAGTAAATTGGAACATCCCCAAAACTTGAAAATTAAAAGCCATATTGTTTCAGGGAATTACCATGTAATTATTAAAAAAAAAAGATAACTTTATATATTCCAGTACTTTTGACAACTTCATTATGTCTAGTTGATTGATAGATAATAGTTAGCTGTCAGCTTCTTAAGATTGTTTGGACCTGACTCTGTCTTAGTTTTATAATAGATTTTTTTCTGCTTTGTATTCCCTGAGGAGAAACCATAGATCCCTTTACATCCACCCATCGCATGCACAAACAGCATCCTCCCTCAAATGTCCCTTGACAGTCATGGTTGAAGAAAGATGGCAACAGGTGCACAGTTTGAATGCTATTCTGACAAGGCTGGCAGATGCACACACAAACACACAAAAGCAGCACTGACTGTGTAGAAAAACTCTGGGAAGAAAAGCATATAAAAATAAAATACCTCGTGTGAGAGCTAGTGACAGGAAGTCGTTCTCGCAGGGCGGCATGCTCCACTTCAGCAAATTAACCTCAGGAAATAATTGCAGCAGTAAACTAATGTTTAGATTATTCAGTACCGCACTATGCCAGGTATTCAGTCACATTGTTTTTGCTGCTTGTGTATCAGCAAATTGGTGGGGGTGGAATCAAGGGCTCTCTTTGTCAAACTAAAGACATCAATCAGTCTGCAGTCTGTGAAATATTTATTAAACATTTATTATCACCTGTATGCTACCGTGCCTTTTTAAAAGACATTCACATCCCTTTAGAATTGTTTTTAACCTGCAGTCTCAGATCGATGTATTTAATTGGGATTTGGAACCATGAAGTAGTAAACTTTGAAAACCAGCATGCATCTAAATATAGATGACTGTAACTTAATGAGAAGAGTAATCATGTTTCAGTGGGAAAGTTGTGGACTTAAATCCACCTGGGATTTTCTCTTTTCCCCAGGTTGTCTACCTAGCTCCAATATAAAGCACATCGAATGGCCAATATGACTGAAAAACAGCAATTTAAACTCAGAAAATTTACCATTACCACCTACTTCCTTGCCATCAAAGGTGTACATTTTTTGGATAGGATTTTATCACCTATTCAGATCTACAAACCAACATTTGTATTGGTGTATTGGTAGATCAAGATCAGTCAGATTGGAATATATTGTTTTGATCTATGCTTGTAGTTGGGTTGAGCCATTCTTGCATAAGAATATGCTTCTAGTTAAAGTATTGCTTTGAAGATCTGGTAGCTTGTGACAAACTACTACAAGTTTTCCTGGATTCTTTCTAGTCTTTCTTAAGTAATAACTAATTTTTGGAGGGCACAACTAATGGTTGCCCTGTCTCTCTTTCCACCTAGACTGTGGATCTCCGGTACTCCTCCAGAGTTACTAAAGTGCCTTTTGGTTGCTTTTCTTTTTAATGCCCTTAATCCCCATCCAGTCAACTTAAGACAGCCATGTGTAGATAGGTCTGCAGTTATGTCATCTTTTTTGCACTTTCAAATGATGGACTTTCTCAATGAGATGATTAAAATGTTGGATATTCTTTTATAATTTATCTCTTCTTTAAGCCTCTCTACAACTTTATCCCTGATCTGTTTGCTGGGCTCCTTGGTCTTCATGAGGTTGCTTGCTCTCTAATGTTCTCTGTCAAACCTCTTAGGCCTTCACAGAACAAGTGAATGTATCCTGACATTAAAGTAAACATAATTGTACTTTATTTACAAAATGTGTGACTTTTGTAGATTGGTGGTTGCACCAGATTTTAATTTATTGAAAGGGACTAAAAAATTTGAAAATCAAACCCTTTACTATTCTGTGTTGGTCTGTCATATACAATCTATTGAAATCTGCTGCAAGATGAGAAAATATCAAGATTCAATGTACCATGGTTACTTTTGCAAGACACTAATTCTGATTAGCCTGCATATTGTTAAGACTATTTTGAATGTGGAGGAGAGGTGGCATGCACAGACTTAAAAGAGCTGCATACAGTCACAAACCCAAGTCAGGCCTCTCCGGTAAAGGTTGACTAGAGAGGAGGACAAAAGGAGAGAAAAAGGTGTGTGAAAGAAAACAGGTGGCATCTGTGGAGGAGCAAAGAATATAGACAAGAGGGAGAAAGTGAGGGTGGGGAGGCAGACTAATGAAATGAGCCTCATAGATGAAGGGTGACGTGGTGGAGGAGAGAGCAGGGAGACTTCAAAGCACTTTGATGTCACAGCCTTTCAGACAGACAACTCTGCTTCAGCCAGCCACCGCGCACATGCCCAGAACCCATACACGTACCCACGCACACGCAAACACAACACGCACACAGTGAAACAAGTGCGCTGCACTGACGGTAGAAGGGCAGGGCAACATTGAGTTGCCCGCTCTTGCATCACACTCTGTGAACTGAGGTTGGCGCTGACACTACAACCCCCACATGCTAATATGGCGCAAACACAAACAGCCTGACAGGTTAATTTAGTTCTAGACAAACACCACGACTTAAAAAATACACATCAGCACATCATCAAATGCTACAAGCTTACACAGACTTGTACGCACAGATGCAGGCAAGCAAAACACTCATCAATTCAAAGGGGGGTTTACTATCCTCTAAAGTTCTGTTTAAACCACATTCTGTTACACGTTTGCGTACGTGTGTTTTTGTTCTACACTTTCTCCTCAATTACCACCTTTTGGAAAGTGAAAGTTAAAGTAATTATCTTTCTGTTGTAATGCACTATCTTATTAAAATGCAATCACATTTATGGAAACTAACAGGATAGTCTCCGAAGAGACATCCTTTGTCCTTTACCTTATATTGCTAATTATTTGTTTTGAGTCACATTGAACAGTTTGACACTCAATTAACAGATGAGGCTCCATTCTCCATAGGCCGTGTGTTTGTTTATTTTCAGATATTATTATTTTTTTTAACATGCATAGGTATGCTAATTAGTAGAAATGCGGGTGCTTGTCAGTGTGGTTGTGTGTTGTGGGGGTAGCATTTCTCTGGCATGGTGCGGAGTTGCTTTGGAAGATACAGGTGTTTCCAGTCAGCGAGGCTCTGGGTGGAGAGCATTCTCTTGTGGGTATGCGTTGTTGATTTCTATTGTGAACCAGACAGTTTGATAGGAAATCAAAGCCTAGAATCAATGTCCCAAGTTCATTAACGGTTGCCCTTTTCTGGCCTGTACTTTTACTATTGTTCACTGCTAGCCTTGGATAAGCACTTACATCTCAGGTTAATTAAACATGTCTCCCAGTTCCATGAACCTGGATGTCTGTGTGTCTGTATACATACAGATGAGATTGATGTGAGTACATTGGCAGATGTGCATGTTTTTATCTCCTATTTGCTGTTGCTTTTTTTCCCTTTTGACCTTCTTTTAGTGCCTTCCTATTATGCCCTCACTGGTGTTTGGATGGGCCATTGATTCAGCAGCGGGCTACAAATTAAGATTTAAATGTTATGTCATCCTCACTATTGAGTTTTACATCTAGGGCATTTGCAAAATGCAAGACTTATTGATCTGCTGAAGTGTGGCTTTTTATTAAAGCTACCTTAGGCTAACGCCACGTTTTAATATTTTTTATTTTTTATTTTTTCCAATTTTGCTGGGCTTTAGGGTTAAGGATCTAATATTTTAGAATGAAAGCATCAATACACTTTAATAAAATGCTGATTCTTTAACTGGTTTGGCAAAGTCTACTTAAGTGTATTTCTGTTTCTCTTTGATACAGATGTGACATTTGATTTTGTTTTTCTCTGTTAAAGGAAAACACCTCCTCTGAAGAACACGTGCTCTACGTGTGGGACCACTTTGTGTCCAAAGCTGCTGCCAAGAATGTCTTCATTATCGCCCACAGCTACGGAGGCCTGTCTTTCGTTGAGCTAGTAAGTGTGCTAGTTTTTCACCTGCCCTCCTTACCTCCTATTAATTAAAGACACATTGAGATGCTGAATGTCATTCTTCTGTATTATCCACAAAACTAGAGTCAAGCTTGCAACTTCACATGAAACGGTGAAAATGTATAAATGAGCAGCAGATCTCAGTAGTGTACACAGCACTGTGTGAAATGTATAAATTTAGACTTTGGTAAATGTAAACATTTTTTCACCATTTTTGTACTCTTCTCCTCACTGATACTTTTAAAACTGAATGCTGAATTTAATCAAAAGATGCCTTATCAAAGTATCAGTTTGACGTTGTGCAGAGACTTACATGAAACAAATTATGAAAGACGAAAAAAAAAACAGACATTAACACAGAACAAAATCTTTTAAGACAAAAAGTGGATAGGATGGAAACTGGTGGGAGGGAAGTTAAACTGATTTTCAATTAAAACTCTGTGTATTTGATATTAAGTGATAGACCAACTTAATGTTGCTGATAAATGGGAAGTGGAAGAAATGTGACTGTTGGAATTATTTTTGTTTTTCCAAAAGAGATTTGAGATTAATGGTGTGTATTTATATCCAACATCCTTTTCTCCCATGACCATGATTAAAATGCAGTGCAAAATAAGAGGCCCTAGTGTGTAATTTCATCCCAGTATAAATCTAACCATCAAAACAACCAACAAACATGGCAGAGACAAGTCAGGAATAATATTGAGGAGGTTTTAAACTGCATTATATTGAGAAACACCATTCCTAAATTTGAACATCTTATACAACACACAACCTCATGCAGGACCTTAGTCTGCACCAGGGTCTCCTTCCATCCGGATGCGCCCAAAAGTTATTCTGATCATATGTTCGACCAAGTCCAGCCTGCTATGGAGCGAGCTCATTTTAGCCCCTTGTATCCGGGATCTCAGTCTTCATGATTCATATCTCATAACCTTAAGTTAGGTTTGAAATATAAATAACCCGGTAAATCGAGAGCTTTGTTTTGAAGAATTTAATACAACTCCCTCAGTGGGCACCCATGGACCAGAAAGCCCCTAAAGGCAACAGAGTCCCTTATATATTCCAGCAACACCCCACACAATTTTTTGTAGTAATGTGATAAATACAGAAAAGGGGTATGGATATTTTTAAAAGGTGCTGTTTTGTTGTACTTTAACATATTTTATGGACTTCATACATGACGATTCCTAATATTTACGTGTCTGTTTTTTTTTTTTTTTCTTCGTCCACCAGGCTCGTTTTGTGGGGTAACATTAATGGAGACCGCACAAGGATTTTCTGACTTAATGAAAATTTAATTTATTAAATTATACTAAAGAAATAAAACCTGAAACAAGGAATACCTGAAATGAGACCACAAAATAGATTAA